GTGTTACAGAAGGGGTTAGTGGACCATTTCACTTCAGTTCTGTGTCACAGAAGGAGCTAGTGGACCATTTCACTTCAGTTCTGTGTTACAGAAGGAGCTAATCCTTGTCTGAAACAGGAACCCATTCCCTGTCTGCTCTCCCTCCTTTGCTTCTAGCCTTTGGTTGCAGAACTCATTGATGTGCGGTGAGTGTTTTTCAAGCAGCCCCTCAGCCCTGTGTGCGGAGTCCTTCTCCCAGAAGTGCTCCTAACATGCTGCTTCTCTGCTCAGGACACAGAAAACCCACCTCAAGTCCTCTGACCCAGAATGTCTCTCATCACCCTTCATCCTGCCATACCTTCTAGGCCATGGAACACCAAGCTCTGTATTAATCATTGCCTTCCAAGTCCTATCACAGCCCTAGCACCTCTTTTCATAAACCTTCACATCACCAGCCATGACTGATAACTTCCCTTTGCTAATACAGTTCATCTGCCAATCGCTGAGCCTTCCCAAGCATTAGTCTAATTGCCTTTCTTCTACCTCAGCTGATGGGAAACCCCTACTAGGAGGAAGGGACTGTCATTGAAGAACCCTAGGACAACTGCTGGGTTGACTCACAGAGTAAAGGCCTCACTGGTTTGTGTTCTCAGAGGCAGGTACATAATGAGAGTGTGACAGACACAAAGACTGAGGAGAGTGTGAGTGAGAAAAACACACAGGGCTGGATGGAAAGAAGAAGGAAGTCATGCTCTGATCACAATATACCACAAACCCAGAGCTCCTTTCAGACCTCCTTCATCTTGGGTCCAGCTGCTATACACATTATTGTCCTCAATGCCTGGACCACTCGACTTACCCAGAGGCCCCAGGTCCCGTCCCTTTCTTCTGGGCCCCGTGAGCCTGGAGGCCACTCACTCAGGAAGTCTCTTCACTATTTCGAGTTTATGCGAATCTCCCAGTACCCCTGGGAAACTAGAGCCAAGAGCTGTTTCCCTTTTCCTCATCCCCCTCTTCAATCTCCTAGGCTTGAGCTCCAAGTGATTTAGACACTCTTAACCTGGGATACACAGTTGAGCTTCAGAGGCTTTGGGATGCTCTTAGTATTGCACACATCATATTTTTGTATGTGCAATGTCCTGACCAAGTGCCACCACTCTTTTCATCAGATTTCCAGCTCAAAAAAGATGAGGAACCACCGGTTGGTCCTTTGCCTGTGTGGGGTAAGCTGCTGTGTGTATAGCTGGGCAGACTAGAGGGAGAGAGCCATGGAGGTCAGGGCCCCGCACAGTACCTTAGAAGCAGCCATCACTGCTGCTGTGGCTGCCACATTCAAGCCCCGCTTCCCAAAGTGCACCAGGGCATCATAACTTCGGTCTTTCGCTTGAACCAGGCAATCGTCAATTTCCTGTCAAAGAAGCAAAAAGGTACACTGAGTTAGAAGGTTCAAATAAATCTCTGTTCTCTCTCCCTTCTCCTGAGCTCTGGGTTTACAGCTTACCTCACATCTGATTCTCACGGGACTGGAAAGGTCTAGATGGTTTGAGTGTGTGTGTGTGTGTGTGTGTGTGTGTGTGTGTGTGTGTGTAGACAGGAGGTGGAAGGAAAACAGAGGAAGTACCAAAGCAAAGCAGTTGCTGTCAAGTAGACTCTGATAGAATGACCTCATGTGTGCTAGACAAGAACTGTGATGCATGGGGTTTTCAATGACTCAATTCTCAGAAATTAATGACCAGGCTTTTCTTCTAAGGTGCCTCTGGGTGAACTTGGACACCTACTCTTTCGGTTAGTGCCAGATCACATTAACCATTTTGCACCATTCCAACTCTGGAGTCGATGCAGGGGATTGGAAAGGGAATTTTTTGGAAAAAGAAAGAAAGAAAAAACAAAACACCATAAAACAATACGAAACCTGTTATGCAAGCAATACTCTTGAATTGTTTCTAAAGCCCTCTACATTTTCAGGGAAATTCTAAGGGGTCCTGGATATGGACAATTTTGCCATACTGTTTTGTTGTTGTTAAGTGCCATCCAGTTGGTTCCAACCCACAGTGACTCTGTGTAGGGTTTCCTAGGAGCGACTTGAAATAGCCCGTCTATAAAACATGGAAATAACCTGGGGTGGAAAGGATGCTATGAACTGCAGGTCTGACTTCAACCTATAACTAAATGGCTATCAGACCTTAAGAAGTACTTAGACTCTTATGTACAATTTCATCTGAAAAATGAGGACCATGATGTTAACTCACACACGGAGTACTGTGAAGATTAAATGAGATTCATTCCAGTAGAGTACCTATCAGAGTGGCTGGTTTCCACAAATAATAACTATTGCTATCGTCCTCATTTCTCAGGGCTTGGGGTCCTTGCAGCTATAAAATTCTGTTACATCATTCTATGAAAAGGCTTCAAAAAGTTAATGGAAAAACATGGAATTAAAAGATAACTGAATTTCTCCATGAACTTTTAAAAGTCTCTATCCCACTGCACATCCATGGATGTGGTTAGGAAGCAGAAAGAAATGAGGCTTAATTTTGTATATAAGGGAAGTCATTTTATGGACATTAAAATGAAAACATAAACTAGAACTGGTTTTAGTTGGTTTGGACTCACAGTAGCCCATTTCAGAGTTCAGTAAGACAATGACATTTGGCCTCATTCTTGTTGGAAGTTTAGCATGTTAGTACATTTCCTGTGCTTTGAGGGTCACAGGGGGCATTAGCCAACTCCCTGTTCAATTCCCTGCTTAAAGCATCCCCACAAAGTCATCACAGTAAGTCCTCTAGTTATGACCCTTGACTGACTCTTGAAGTGATTCTTACAGCTCTAAAGAAGCAGACATCGTTACTTCAATGAAAATTACACTGGCATCTTCACAGTAAGGAAAGAGAAACAGAAGTGCAGGGATTTAGGAACCAAGTCAAGACCCAGCTCTCTACAGCTTCAAATCCATCCTTCTGAGGTGGGAGGTGCGGGGGTCCTGGTTCCTAAAGGGATTCTGCTTATCCAATTGATTTGTTCCCCAAAGTATTCAACTTTTAGAAGCAACAGAAATGAACGCAAGACAATTACAGCAATTCTATTGTATGTACCTTAGAAATATAATTAACAAATAATATATAACATTGAAAATTTTTGATCCAATATCCCATTCTGGAGAATTTATTCTAAGAGAGAAGGTCAAAATAAGGAACAAAACTCCATGCTGACAGTAAGTGGACAGTTCTGTTATTGTAGATCATTGAAGATGAAGTAGAAATGGATTGTGCACAAACATGTTTAAAATATCAAAATACCAATAGTGTATCTACGCTAAATTTTTATCTGTTTCATTTTTTTAAATAGTCTGTGTAAAAGTTGAACTCGCCTTTGTAGAAAAACTGTACCTGCAAAAGGTTAGGAGCTTGGTATGGAAAAAGAAAGACAATTCAGTTTAGGGTATTGAATTGTGAGTGAAATTTTCTTTACTTTGTTTCAACTTTTGGAAATGTTTTACAATAAATAATGACATTATCTTTTAGAGAATGTCACCACTATTTCTAAATGTATCAGAAAAATAGAATCTTAAAAAGTAAGACTATAAAGAACAACTTGTTGGGGGCTCAACCAAAGGGTCTCCTGCAATCGCACAACCATTCCACAGACCGGCCAAGCACCCACTCCCTAAACTGTATCCCTCTGCCGGAAGGAGTGAAAGGTTGAGCAGGATAAATTAGTTACCTTTTCTTTTGAAGAGAGTGTGGGATGTACAAACTTCCTGTAGAGGAGGCTGGAGCCTTTTGTGTAGGGAGACAGCAGCCAGGCTACAAACGCTATTTTTAATTCATAATAGAATGGAAACCTGGGGGGAAAAAAGAAAATGCACATCCCATTAGGATCTCAGCAACACTGCCCAGGGCCCGTGACTTGACAGACAAGGCCACAGCCACAGGGACTCCTGTCTGGCCAGCCCATAGCCACAGGGACTCCTGTCTGGCCAGCACACCACTTCCAGGTTGCCTGGATGTCTCCTTTCTCCATGTGTGAAGGTCTGTGCATACAAACAGCACAAGCTCAAGGCTAATTCCCATCTTTCTTCCTTGTGAAAGTAAACCAGCTGCAGCCTGCAGAATTTGAAGCCTTAATCTGTGCCTGCCCACATGGGCATTCACTCTTTACTCATGAGCCGTGAAGACACCAACACTAGGAGAAGTAAAGTGGAGCGGAGCTGACAGAGAGAACTTCCAGACTGAAAATAAAAGCCAGCCCCTTCTTGGTTTTCTTCTTGGCCCAAACAAAAGCAGAGGGCAGGGACCCTGCTTTTGCCAGGGAATAGGGTGCTATTCACTCTACTCAAGTCAATAGCAGACAAAAGAATCTTGCTGATGTTTGTGCTAAAAGAAAAAGGAGCAGGGTGCAGATAACATATGATTCTGGAGTCTGCAGTCCTGTATAACTTGAGTTCATTCATGTATTCATTCCAGAAACATCTACCCAGCACCTATATGCCAGTTTGTGTTAAGGGTTGGGAATAAAATGGTGAACAAAGGTCTGATCCCAGTCATCTCAGAGAGCTCCCAGTCTAGCAGGAGACATAGGCAAGATTCTGATATCCCTGCAACTTATAGTCCAGTTGGGGAAATGGAAATTCAATAAATAATCACAAATAATTTAGAACAGGAGCCAGAGATAAGTGCTATCATGGGCCTCTGCTAGCCTGCATGGCTTCTTTGCATCTACAGGACAAAGTTAGTCCCTGCAGCTGGATGCAGCTCTGCAGGTACGTGGCTTGGCAGGGGTTTCAGCTCCAATCCTCTCCTCAGCCAAGTCCCTTCATGATGGGAATGACCTGTATAGCCATATTCAGCAGTGTCCTGATGCTATGAGGGAGAAGGGCAGGATTCTGTTAAGGGCAGTAATAAGAAGACCTGTGCTAGCCAGAGGCATCAGAAAAACAGATCCCTCCAGGCATCCTCCATCCTAGAATTAAAAGTTGGAAATAAAAGGCAGTTACTAGCAAGCCTTATCAGAGTCCCTCATACACATTCAGCTCCTAATGTGGTGCTGCAGGATAATACACTGGACTGCAAGGTCAGTTTGAGCGACAAGGTTGGAAGTTCAAACTCACCAGCTGTTCCTCGGAAATCCTATAAAGGGTTGCTATGAATTAGAACCAATTTGACAGCACTTAACAATAACAATGAACGTGTAGGATAAGCACTGGATTGCTAACTGCAAGACTGACAGTTCAAACCCACCAGTTGCTCTTTGGAAACCCTATACAGGGTTGCCATGAGTCAGAAACTACTTGATGATACTTAATAACACCATACTTCCTGCTTCTGACAGGCTTACCCTGGATATGGCCACAGAACTAGGGAACACGCTCATGGCAAGATATACTGATGTTCCACAACCAGTAAAGAGCTGGGGCTGAAGGAACATTTGAACACTCAGGCAACTAAGGAAGAAATTTTGTTTTGACAAATACTATTTGCCAACCCCAAAGGGAAAGCAAAGGAACCTGGCACACTCAGGCATCAACACAGCTCCCCTTGGGATCTGTCACACTGTGGCTCTTTGTTATATAAAAGATTTAAAAAAAAAAAAAAAAAAAAGGCAACGCAGAGACATAGTTTTAAAAATTCTAAAAGTTCAAAAGACTATACAACAAAGGGTTTGCTTCCCTTCCCTTGGCCCTAGTCCCTTTTCCAAAAGCAAGCACTATTATCAGTTTTTTTTTACATTTTCATCCAGAGGTAGACTATAGCTTTTTGTTATTGGTTTTGTTTTTTAACTTTTTATGACTTGAGTTAAAGTTTAGAGTAGAAAATCAGTTTTATGTTCAATAAATCATACACTTCATTCATGTCAAAGACTGCAACCCCCTCAACATAACATCACTTACCCTACTTCCTCTCCATGATTCTTGGTTCCATTCCATCTTCTTTCCCAATCTTTCAGTTTTGTCCTTATTGATCTTGACTGGTTGGCCATTCATGGTGTGAATACCTTACCTTCTATGTACATAGAAGTGCTCTCGTCCCTTCTATGTACCTATGTCTGAAAATTGAGCCCAGAGGGTTAGCTCAATTCCATAGTTCAGTTCTATAGTCTCAGGATTCCACTAGTCTCTACCTGACCAGTAATCCTTATCTTTTTTTTTTTTTTTATGATTTTGAGTTTTTTGTTCCACATTTTCTCCCACTATATCCAGAACCTTCTAAAGCTATCTCTTTCAGAGCAGTTGGTAGTGGTAACTGGGCACCACCTAAATCCTCTGGTCTCACAGTCATGGAGATTGATGTTCACCTAGTCCATTAGTCCAATGGACTAATTGTTTCCAATGTCTTCAATTTTCATCATTTTTCTTCCCTCCTGATAGGGAGAAACCAATAGTTGCACCTTAGATGACTGCTCATGAACTTTTAAGATCCCAGTTGATGATGGCTGTTACTGGTGTTGTTACGTGCTGTCAAGTTAGTTCTGATTTACAGAGATCCTAAGTGTTACAGAATGAAACACTGCCTGGTCTTGTACCATACTCACAATCATTCCTATGTTTGAGCCCATTGTTATAGCTGCTGTGCCAATTCATTTTATTGAGGGCCTTCCTCTTTTTTGCTGATCCTCTACTTTGCCAAGCATGATGTCCTTCAGGTACAGGTCCCTTCTGATGACATGAGACAAAGTCTTGCCATCCTCACTTCTAAGGAGCATTCTGGCTGTACATCTTTCATGATAGATTTGTTTGTTTTTTGACAGCCTACAAAATATTCAATATTCTTTGCCAACACCATAATTAAAATATATCAAATTTTCTTCAGTCTTCTTTTTACATTGTTCAGCTTTCACATGCATGTGAGGCAACTGAAAATACCATGGTTTGGGTTAGGCACACCTCAGTCTTCAAAGTGACATCTGTACTTTTAACATTTTAAAGAGATCTTTGCAGCAGATCTGCCTAATGCAAGATGTCATTTGATTTCTTGATTTCTGCTTCCATGGGTGTTGGTTGTGGATCCAAGCAAAATGAAATCCTTGACAACGTCAGGCTTTTTCCATTTATCATAATGTTATTTATTTGTCTATTTGTGAAGGGTTTTGTTTTCTTTATGTTGAGGTGTAATCCATACTGAAGGTTATAGTCTTTCATCTTCATCAGTGTCTCAAGCCCTCTTCACTTTCAGCAAGCAAGCTTATGTCATCTGCATGTTAGAGGTAGTTAACAGCTCTTTCTTTAATCCTGATGTTGTATTCTTCTTCACAGAGTACAGCTTCTTTTTTGTTTGTTTGTTTCAGCATACAGGTTGAACAAGTATGGGGAAAAAATACAACCCTGATATATATCTTTCCTGATTTAAAACCATGCAGTATTCCTTTATTCTATTCAAATGACTACTTCTTGGCCTATGAAGAGGTTTCACATAACCACAGTGATCCCTTGTTTCACATTTTCTTTTGAATGTGGCTTGAATTTCTGATGAAAATTTTACTTGTGGGTGATACTACTGATATTATTTGATAAGTCTGCATTCTGTTGGTACACCTTTGTTTGGAATGGGCATGAATATGGATCTTTTCCAGACTTCCAAATATCTTGGCATAGGTGAGTGAGCATCTCTAGTCCTACACTCATTTCCTTAACATTATCATTGGTATTCTGTCAGTTCCTGGAGTCTTAGTTTTGTATCAGTGCCTTCAGTGTAGCTTAGACTTCTTCCTTCAATACCATCTTGATCACATGCTACCTCCTGAAATGGGTGAAGGTCGACCAATTTTCTCTGGTACAGTGACTCCATGCATTTCTTCCATCATCTTTTTTTTTTTTTTAATGTTTTATTGTGACTTATGTGATAGTTTACATGGGAGAACATTAGTTTTACATTCATTCTATCGTATATTTCTCATTGCCATGATTACAATCCCCTCCAAGCATCATCAACCAACCAAAGGGTATACCCTGCAAGCCTGCCCCCCACACCCCACCCCACGAGGTCTTCAGCACACAGTCACTCTCCCTCTCTGGATCTAAAGTCCCCAGCTGCTCCATATCTCCACGTCATCATCTCTGCCTCCATCTCAGGCATCACTGCTTCTCTG